TTTCAGTCTACAGTGTTGATTGTCAATGTCTCAGTCTACAGTGTTGATTGCGAATATATCAGTTTACAGTATTGATTGAGAATGTATCAATCTATAGGGTTGATTCAGAATGTATCAGTCTACAGCGTTTATTTTGAATATGTAAATCTACAGTAATATTTTTGAAGTTTCAATCTACAATGTTAATTTTGAATGCATTACTCTAAAGTTTGGATTGCGAATATATCACTCTATAGTGTTGCCTGTAAATGGCGCTGTCTATAGTGTTGACTGCGAATATATCTACAGTGTTGACTGTGAATGGCGCCAAATTATAATGTTTAATTTGAATATATTACTCTATAGAGTTGATGTAAATGACGCCACTCTATAGTGTTGATTGTGAAGAATATGAATGACTCCAGTCTATAGGGTTGATTGTGAGTATATTACTCTTAGAGTATTGACTGTGAATGACGCGAATATATAGTGTTGATTGTGAAAATAACACTCTCTAGGGTTAAATATGAATTACCCCAGTCTCTAGTGTTAACAAAGCAGTCACCCACGGACTATGATAATGTTAATATTACTTTTTACAGTTGGACATGAAGATAATCTAAACAAATCGGATGGCACTGACGAAGATCGGACTGACAGCTGCACAACATCTCCATGTATCAACGGCAGTCACTGTCGTGTCATCGATCAATCATCTGCCAAATGTCAATGCTCACTTCACAACACAGGTGAGATCCCTCACGTCCATAATATTAGCAAAATCATCGTTGTTTCCTTTATAAAATATTTGTCGGTCATATGGGCGTCGAGTCAAAAACTAACACGGGTGGAGTCCTAGTCCTAGTCCTTTTGAGAAAAAAAAAGAAAAGCTCGACCACGTTCAGACTGCTGCTAGCTAGCCTAGGCTACTAGCAGTCTCCGCCTATATTTGTGGTCTGGGTTATTTGCGTAACTTTCGTGACTGAATACTAGTGTTTGTGACATTTCTGGGCTTGATGCTTCCATCCGAATCAAACCGCTCGTCCTGTTGTCACTGGTGCATGTCTTCCTTCTTCTTTCTTGGTGTTTCCTGTTTGTTCTGTCTCCCTTTGATCTGGCTAGGCGTATGTCGAAGGAGAGCGAGCTTCCATACAGAACGTCTTTTAGACCACCATTTATTGTTTTAAAATTTTGTGTGTTTTAATTTTGCCAAAAATTACTGAAAACAGTTTTTGAATTTGAATAGTTCCGAAATGTGAAAACTTTCCGCGTGTGACCATAGTGGTCTTTTAGTTGTCTTCCTGTAATATGAACGGGTTAGTCATGTAATGGATATGTGTGTGAGAGTTTATGTGGAGCCTTAAGCGGGTCCAGTCGTCATTTGTTATTATGTGATCGGGTTGTGTTGACAGCTAAGCTCCGGTGTACGTAAATACCATATAACCGGAGCTTCCAGCTCACGCTTTGAGATCCAAATGTTCGGCGATGAGAACTGATGTGGCATGTTGGGTAACGAACTCAAGTGCTCTCTGTGGGAGTGGGTTGGGGAGTTAAACTCATAGTGCATCCGAAAGAGTTAGGGAAAGGTGAGGGGAAAGGGGGGCGGGAGGCCATTCAGTCATTTCTCGTCGTTGCCGTCTTGCTGGATTCTAGCGTGGTTTTTTGCCGGGACTATGTATATCACGTTACCAACCTTTGCTATCATCCCAGTGATGGGGTGGTATTGGTGGTTATGCGTTCTAGTCCTGTCATTATCGAGTCACTTGTTTTCCCTATTTGTTGTCAGTCATATCTTGTTGTGAGTCCTGTCGGTCATGTGCATGTTGTATGCATGCTGTGGAATGGGATGGTTTTGTGTATGAATCCCCGGAGTATATGGACGCACCCAACTAGGTGTATGCGTACATGCACTCCAGTACCCATACACGCAGACAACATTACATATTTGCACGTCCTTTCATACTTATCCATGTATACATACCTAATTGACATTACGTACATACGCAAACTCTTTCATATGCGTTTACCAATGCCTGTACTTACATTTTAAAAAAAAGAGGTACATCCACACGTAGTGACATTTACTTTTCAATGTCTTGTGCGTTTTGTGTCGCTATGTCTGTAATTTCGTCTGGTCGTGTCACTTTTAGGTTATGTCCCGTTACTGGAATGTGACCTGTCCGGTACTGACTTATCATGTTCCGGTGGATGGTGTATGTCAGCAGAGATGGTCTATTCGGGATCCTTGAAAAATATGGATGCCCACCTATACTACTGAGTCTAATCAAATCCTTTCATGAGAATATGAGGGGGACCATAATATATGAGGATTCATCATCTCAACCCTTCCAGATTCGAAATGGAGTAAAGCAAGGATGTGTTCTGGCTCCCACGCTGTTTGGCATCTTTTTTACCGCATTACTGAGGCGTGCATTTGGGACAGCAACTGAGGGGATATACCTCCGTTCGAGGTCAGATGGCAATCTTTTTAATCTGTCCAGGCTACGTGCAAGGACAAAGGTGCACACGAGATGTGTATCCTGTGTGGCAAAGACTGCCATTCCCGCATCGGACTATATAGTCACAGCAGATGCTGTTCCCAAAGCCAGCAGCACATCTCCATAGTCCCCCGGGACTGACGGATGCCATTAGCATTAGTATGGATGGTGTGTGTTGATGACGTTCTTGCTGCTTACACACTTCATTCCATTTGTTCTCAATAATTAACAGACATGCAGCAACACAATTTATGGGTTCTTTGAGTGCACTGTTATTCATACACTCACAAATATATAAATATACATGCTCCCATATATATACACACCTGCACACTCATACCCACATATACATGCATACAGTAATACATTTCTATATCCATGTACTCGTTCATCTTTACCTTTCGCACAGCTATATTCCCACTGTCCTGTCCATACGTGATCCCTTACCATCCGCCTACATACACCGTGTCTTATGTATCCATCCTATACATAAATGCACTCATACTACACGCACTCATCCTTGTGTATGTATCCATGTTCACATCTATGCACTCATCATACTTACACTACCTCCCTTACGCTAGGGTGTCCAGAGTTACCATCTGATCCGTTCCTTCTGCTGCACTGAGTAAATCCTTAATCTGGTCTTTTTAGTTTTGTTTTGTTTTAATAAGGAACTGTTTACCCAGTTTCTGGGTGTCTTTATTGCTATCTACCTTTAAACATTTGTTTGCAGTAATCTGTAGTTTGCGTTTTAGAAAATACTCCTCAGGGGGTTTCCTCACCAATTTATATTTAGTGCAGTTTATTATATAATGCTCTATTGTATTATCTTGAAAGCAGTCCAGACATAGTGGAGATGTAAATTTCTATGGATGCCACCCTAACCTAGCTCTCCATAGTAGTTTGTTAGCTGGGATTTTCAGTTTGTCCCGTACCTGTGTGTTAAGGCTGGGCTCTTTAAGGTTGTTGTAGGCATCTCTGCCATTAATGCTCCCTTGCCATTGAAGTTTCCACATTTTAATTATATGGCGTTTGATTATGCTAGTCCTTTCAGTTTTTCCGAGTCCTACATCTACTAAAACATCACATTTAGCTCCCTTTTTGGCTGCTATGTCAGCTTTTTCATTGCCTATTACACCTCTGTGTGCTGGTACCCATGCAATGGTGACTTGGCATCCTTTATTCTTGAGCTGGGTTGTTAGATTTAAGATTGTTTCTTTAATATCTGGCCTACTGCTAGTTTATGAGGCACTTCAGCTTCTTTATACAATTTTTTAGACGGAGGAGGTAAAAAGGAATACACGACTTGCTGAAGTACCTAATAATGAAAATAATTAAAATAATAACTTAATATAGTAATATATTTCAAATATTATGTGTAAATGATAACTTGAAATAGAACGGATATTCATGGTTCGGAAGAGGAAAGCTCTTTATCCCTAATGATAATAAATATGTTTTTTTTTTTTTTTTGGGGGGGGTGGGGGGGGTGGTAAGGGACTTCTTTATATTGTCTAGTGGGGCAGCGTTAGTCCTCTCCCCCCAATAAGTCAAAGTCTTTGGGGTTTTGGAGGAAGCAGAGAAGTCGCACATAGTGTGCCTACGTACTCTCCAATATTGTTTACTCCTAGCATTCGGTTACTGAGATAACCTTCACAGTTTTTTGGCCGACATTGTGCTACCAGTACCAACAATGAACGCTTTCTACAACTAACAAGCGGAATATCATAATAACAGAGATGAGATGCCTTAGGAAAGCTACCGGTGTGACAAGAAGAGATAAAATAATAAATAAAGAAATTAAATTAGAAAAAAGACGAGGACTGAAACCAGTCATACAGTTCATTTAGGAAAAAGAAATGAGATGGTTTGGCCACCTGACGCGAATGCCCTGGTTCCAACTGCCCCAGAGAGCCACGCTGAAGAAATATAATGAACACAGAGCAAGGGGAAGACCACGCAAGAGATGGAGCGACATCCTCAGGGACAACCTAACAGAAATGAACACCGAATTGTACAAAACATTGGAAAAAGCGCACAAACGATCCTTATATCTCCACCCACATCTCACTGAGGTTAGTGGTGGAAGAGAAGAAAAAGAAGAAGAAGAGATGTTATATTTTTATTTGAACGTATCTTTTTTGTCTCCGTCCCAATTTGAAACACAGTGTTTTTTTTTTTTTTGTTATTTTAAAACCTCGCCCGGCTGTTGTCGATGGGTCCTACTATACCCTAACGGTTGAACTGGGTTTTTGGTGACTTGTGCCAGGGTGATTCTCATCCGAATGGTGGCACTTTGTGTCACCAGGTGTTTGTGCGGTCCTGGAGGGGTGGAACGTCACTCGCCCGCGTTTTTCTGTGATCGAAGAGGGTGTATGCGCGCACGTGTGAGAGTGTGCGTGCATGTACTGTGGTGTTTAAATGTACGTGTGTGCCTATTTCTGAACGTGCCGATGCTAGAGCGAGGACGTATTATGCAGCTACTGTGCAGCGGTACTAAATACCAGCTAGGACTGACAC